AAAAAAAAAAAAAAAGTTTCACAAGCCTTTCTACCTGAGCTGGCTTTCAACTTTCAACAGATCTAAGCCTCCTGAGTAGCTAGGATTTCAGGCATGAACCACCAGCTCTCTGCTCCAAACTAAACCTCTGCACCTACTAAGCAGTATCTCTTCCTTTTCCTATCTCTTATATGAGAAAAAAAAATCTAAATGAGTAAAAATGAAGGAAATTGTTAAGCCAAAAATAAAAATGCCTTAGCAAACAATACATTCCATCTATCTATCTAGTTGGATATCCATCCATCCATCTATAAATCAATCTAATGCAGGAGGAAAAGAGCAGCTATCTAGTAAAGGTGTGAAATTAAGTGGCTCATGCTCTAGCCACTTGTTTCCAACTGAGGCACAGTTTGAAAACTCCAGTTTGACAAATATAAAACCAACTCTCCTCACACTAGCCAGCCATACCAAAGTTCCTTTGATTAAAGATCTCAGAGTGGAGGGGAGGGGGAACAACACCCAAAACCCCACAAAAACATGAATAGAACAAGAGGAAAGCTGGCTAGATTCAACTACACAAAAATAGAGTTAACTTCTGAATAACAGAAAAGTACAAACACAGTGCAAAGACAAATCACACCCTGGGAAAATAAAGCTGCCTTGCATACACAGGCAGCCAGAAGAACGCTTCTTGAAATACTAGCGATTTTGCTCTCCTTTGTCTCCTCTCCTCACGTCCATCAGCGCCCAACCCGCCCCCACTCCACCTCAGGGAGAGTTAGAGCTTTCCGAGTGAGGAGATGAAGAGAGAGAAGCAGCGAATGTTCGATGTCATTGTTTTTGTAACTTCCCAGGTAATCTACTTGAAGCCACATCAGACAGGCAGTGTTTGAAAGCAAAGCCTTTGATTGGAAGACACTGCTTTTGCTGTGAAAAAAAAAAAAAAGCAGCTCTTGACAATCAAAAGGGAAGGTCCTGAAGGAGGCTGGGGAGACGATTTGTGCCTGAACTCTAGATTGAAAAGGACTTGTAAAGATCCAGGCTGTGTGCCCTTGGGGGAAGAAAATGGGGCCGCTGGGGTGGGAGACAGGGTGGTGGTGGGGAGCGTGGGAGGGAACTCTGGCCTTGAGAAAGGTGAAGGGGATCTGGGAGGAGGGAACCCCAACTTCAGGGTTGCAGGGAGGAAATAACTATCTGGGGGCGCTGAGGAGAGCCTCTCTATCACCACTACCTCTGGCTTCCTGGGGTATGGACCATCCTCAGCAGTCCCTCTGTGGCCACTCACATGGCTGGCAGAGGCCACCTTGGCTGCAGGCCGATGCTAACCATCCTGCTCTTCACTGTCTGATGAGGGTCTCTGCTGCTAGCTGCCTGTCTGATGCCTACCTCTATTCTGTGATTTTCGGAGGAACGCTATAACTCTGATCCTTATGAATCTGTGCCCTTTTCACATGGCTGAAGACATTCAGAGAGATCCTTCACACCCACTGAGCAGGCCATGGGAACTGAAGACACTCCCCCCCACACACCCTGCAACCTGTACTTGGGTAGAACTCAATCATGACCAAAATCTCTCCTGCAACGGTAGCTCTGCGATATATAAAGAGTGTTTATGAATCAACAAAAGGTAAACAAGATGTGAAGGAAAATTCATACAAAAGCTACAAACAAGCCGAGCGCTCACGCCTATAATCCTACCTACTCAGAAGGCTGAGATCTGAGGATCACGGTTCAAAGCCAGCCCAGGAAGGAAAGTCCGTGAGACTCTGATCTCCAATTAACCACCAGAAAACCAGAAAGAGCTGAGGGACAGTAGCCAGGCCCAGAGTTCAAGCCCCATGACTGACAAAACAAACAAAAATTCAACTACAAACAGCTTTTATTCATAAGATGAAAAGATGTTCAAAGCTGGGCACTAGTGGCTCACACCTGTAGTCCTAGGCTGTGATCTGAGGTTCACAGTTCAAAGCCAGTCCGGGGAGGAAAGTTGGAGACTCTTATCTCCAATAAACTACTCAGAAAACCAGAAGTGGTGCTGTGGCTCAAATGGTAGCGTGCTAGCCTTGAGGTGAAGAGCTAAGGAACATCACCCAGGCTCAGAGTTCAAACCCCATGACCAACCAAAAAAAAAAAAAAGAAGAAGAAAAGATGTTCAGTGTCAGTTCTAATTGGAAAAATCCAAGTTTTGACAAGATACATTTTGCTTAGGAAATTTAGAAAACAGAGAAGAAGGAAAGAAAGCATTCTTAATGCCACTGCTAGATTTCATTTTCAAAGACTTTATGTCAGACAATTTGGCAACTACCTAGAAATTCAAACTCACCAGTCCAATTCAACCAAGAGTCCTGCTGCGGGGTGGTTGAGCAAATCACAATGGGGATCTGTGCAGTGTGCATTTGTGGAGTTGTTTTACAACATTGCTATTATGAAAAATTGGGTCACAGCTGGGCTCAGTGTCACACACCTGTAATCCAAGCACCTGAGAGGCTGAAGCAGGATGATTAAAAAAAAAAATTGAGGCCTAGACTACGAAACAAAAACCAAGTGCTGAGGGATACAACTCAATTGTACAGCACTTAACTAGCATGTACCAGATGCTAATGTCCAGCCTCAGCACCACAAGATTTAAGAAAGAAAAGGGAAAAAAAAAAAAGCCGAGCTGCCAAAGTCACAGAAATTGGATTCAGAGATGAAAGAAGAGTAGAGAACAATTAATACAATTGATCAGAGATGGAGGTCAGAGGCCAAGGCCAGGGTAGATACACAGATAATAACAAGAGTTAGGAGAGAGGGAGGTGTGGGAAGGAGAGCGGGAGACTGAGGCAGGCAGATAAATGGTAAAATGTAAGACAGAGAGGAGGAATGGGGAGGAACAAACAGGAAGAAGGGACAGAGGTCTGGTAGAGGCCAGTGCAAAGCATGGAACTTGCTTGGGCCTAAGTTAGGGCACAACCCAGGATCTCTCACTTCCGCTGAAGGTATCCATCAGCCCCAAGGCAGGGAAGCAGTCAGCCACCCTGCAGCCCACCCCAGTGGGGTGAGGAAGCTCAGGAAAAGACACATTCACATTGGCTCTGGTGTTCCACCCTCCCATCTATGCTGAGGCATTGAGTCAAGCTCAGCAAAGACACTTGGCCCTCCTGGACTGTGATCCTCCTACTTGTGCTTCCCCATGTATCTGGGGATGGCAGCCAGGTGGCAGCACTCAGCCATTGTGCTTTTCCTATAGCTGGGCTAATGGGCATGTGCTACTGGGCCTAGTCATTTCTTGAGATGTAGTCCCAAGAGCTATTATTAATGCCCCATTTGTATTTCTCTTGCAGATGCTGTCTTGTCACCTTTCATCTATTTTTTCTGCTTTTTCATTTTTAATTTCTTCAGTGCACTTATTTATTTAGTTAGTTTTTGTTTTTCTTTTCTTGAGACCAAATCTCACTATATAGTCCAAAGTGGCCTTGAACTATTAATCCTCCTTCCTGCCACATCCCAAATGCTGGGATTAATAGGCGTGTATGTACCACCACACCCAGTGCAAATCCATCTTTCTGAACAGGAAAAACAGAAGGATTATGAGTTTCTGCTTATCTTTTCAATTCAAATATAATATTTCAGGGTTTTTAGTCAATCTCTTTGATCCTATCCTCCTATCTCCTTCCTCAAACGTGGAAGATCTTAGATTCTAGCATTAACATAATTACTTATTTGCATTATCTTGTGATTTCTAGAAAATAGTTTTAAAAATAATGTCAGTTCTTTTTTTGACTAGCAATAAGACTTTCAAATGAAGTTCTGAGATGCCTTTGAAGCTCTTCTTCTCTTTAAAAAAAAAAAACTTTCTTTAAGGCTGAACAGTCAATATGCCGTAAGCGAAAGGCACTGGAAACGATTTTCACCAAGTGGCTGTATCACCAACTTGATATACATTTAAGGCCTTTCATTTCAGATCACTTTCAAACTTCAGGGACTGAATTTTTTTTCCTCCTTTGCTTTTGATTTAATGTTATTTTGGACTGTATTAAATATTTATATGATTCCAAAGTCAAAACTACATAAAAGGATGTATCTAGACAGTTTCATTCCCATCATTAGCCTTCTACCTTGTTCCTTACCCTGTACGCAATCATTTTTATTGTTCTTCGCTTGTTTGTTTATCCTTCCCGTCTTTGTTTTGCAAACATAAACTTGTACACATATTCATACCTCTTTGTTAAGGTTTGGATCTTAAATATTACCCCAAAGACTCATGTATAAAGGGCTTGATCCCCAGTTGGGGGCGCTGTTAGAGGTTGTGGTAGTAGGTAGAGGAAGGTAGGTCATGCGGGGGTAGGGGGGGGCGGGGCGGTCCTTGAAGAAGATATTGGGAGTCCAGCACCTTTCTCTCTCTCTCCTCTCTCTCTTTCCCTTGTTCTCTCCCTCTCCTTGTCTTCTCCCTCTCTCTTTTTCTCTCTCTCCTCCCAGGCCACCAGGAGGGGAGCAGCTTTTCTCTGTCATAATGCTTTTCTCATACTTTTTTCTCATGCTTTTTCTCTTGCAGCTTTTCTCTCCCCACTACGATGCTCTGCCTCACCAGCCCCAGAAAAATGAGGTCAGGCAACGGAGGGCTGAAACTATGAGCCCAAATAAATACTTTCTTTTTACGTCGTGTATCACAGGCATTTTGTCACAGTGATGACAAACTAACACATTCTCCTGCCCTCATTGTCTCACAAGCAGTGGCAGCTGTTGGCTCGGTCCTACACACCTGTGTTGTTTACTCCCCACAGAGTGTCTTCTACGTTCCTTTTCACAAGTGAGTCGCATTCCACCATGATGGCTGACCTAAGGAAGAACACTCATATTGTTTCCAGTATGTCAAAAAAGGCCACAGTGTGCCAAAGTCATTTTAGTGCTCTTCTCATGGGTTTAAGTTAGAACCCAACAAGTGGAACTGGGGGCCAAAGAGTAATCTTGCATCTTTTTTTAAGCTATTTCCTTCCAAAAGAGTTGTACTATGTTACATTTCCACCAATACCCATGGTTCAGCATTTGTTCAATGAACATACACTGTGTGCCTGCTATATGCCAAGGCACTGGATGATTTGCTAAGGGCTCAGCAGTGAGAAAGACAACATGGTCCTTTCACTTAACAACTAACAGCCTAGTGAGGAAGTGAGAGTGAACGGGTAAATACCCAAATGATCATTGGTATGTGCTAACAAGTACATAAGAGTTTGTAGTAAGGGACTAAACATGGGTGCTACAGCCTATAATCCCAGCTCTCAGGGAGGCAGATGTTGGAAGAATCAAAGTTAAATCTAGTTCAGGGGGAAAAAAAGTCTCAACAAAATAAACTTGGCATGGTAGTTACACCAATACTAGCTATGAGGAAGACATAAATATGAAAATATTGGTCCAGGCCAACCAGGCAATCTAAAGCAAGCTGTTGGCAGTGGTCTAGGGCAGAAGAAATTGACACATTGGGTGTGGGCTGCTGCCTGCCTCCCTGATCATGAAACTCACAGTGATATGGAGAAGAGATTGTTCACAGTATGAACAAGCAGCCAGTAGTAAGGACCTGCCCATTTTGGTGCAAAATCCTTATAAGGAATCTCTTAAGAAATGTGCCTTAGCAGGGCACTGGTGGCTCATGCCTGTAATCCTAGCTGAAATCTGTAGATCACAGTTCAAAGACAGCCAGGGCAGGAAAGAGTAGAGTGTTATCATGGAGCAAAAAAGTTCAAGGACAGGGCTGGGAAGGTGGCTCAGTGGTAGAGCGCTTGCCTTGCATGCATGAGGCCCTGGGTTCGATTCCTCAGCACCACATAAGCAAAAAGAAAAAAGTCGGAAGTGGTGCTGTGGCTCAAGTGGTAGAGCGCTAGCCTTGAGCTGAAGAGCTGAGGGACAGCGCCCAGGCCCAGAGTTCAGGCCCCATGACCGGATCCAAAAAGAAAAAAAGAAAAAAAAAAAAAGAAAAAAGTTCAAGGACAGGGCCCAGGCCCTGAGTTCAAGCCTTTTGACTGACAAAAAAGAAAGAAAGAAAAAGAAAGAAAGGAAAGGAAAAAAGAAAGAAAGAAAGAAGGAAGGAAGGAAGGAAGGAAAAGGAAAGGAAAGGAAAGGTGCCAGTTGCTCACACCTATAATCCTAGCTACACAGGAGGCTGAGATCTGAGGATCACGGTTCAAAGCCAGCCCAGGCAGGAAAGTCCATGAAACTCTTATCTCCAATAAACCACCAGAAAACCGGAAGTGGCACTGTGGCTCAAGTGGTAGAGCACTCACCTAGAGCTGAAGAGCACAAGGATAGCACCAAAGCTCAGAGTTCAAGCCCCAGGACCAACAAAAAAAGAAAAAAGAAAAGAAAAGGAAGGAAAGAAACAAAGAATGTATCTTTTGAGGGAAATGTGTAGATTATAAGAATGTATAGCTTTTCTCTCAATTGATTTCCCCATTTACTGGGTGCATTTATGGAAGACCTATGACAGGTCTTTGTGACAAGAAACAGAAAGAAATAACAAAAACCATTAAAAGAGCTCAAATCATGGGATTTATGCCAGTTACACATGAGGATCCTGCTCATCTCAAAACCCCCAAAGACTGTAACATCAGATATTAGGAATTAATTAGATGTGGTTATTGCCAATAAATTATTATTATTATAAGCAAAAAAGTAAAATAAAAAAGAAATAAAGCAGTCAGTGCCAGTGGCTCACACCTGTAATCCTAATTACTCAGGAGGCTGAGACATAAGGATCACAGTTCAAAGCCACTGAGAAGAAAAGACTCTAAACTCTTTTTTATTTTGCTAGTTGTGGGACTTGAACTCAGGGCCTGGGTGCTATCCCTGAGCTCTTTCAAGGCTAGTGTTCTACTACATTGAACCACAGCTCCACTTCTGTTTTTCTGGCTGTCAACTGGAG